CTGGGGTGAAATGATATCTCATAGTTGTTTTAATTTGCATCTCTCTTAGGGCTAGGGATTTTGAGCATTTCTTCATGTGTTTGGTAGCATGTATACACTCTCAAATACATTGATATGTATACAAGATATAAAAGAATCAGAATCAATAATTTTTCATTAAGATAATAGATAATAGGAATGCTTTTTATTCATGCTATGCTATTTCTTAAAAAGACATTGAAATTTTAATACAACTTTTACTATATGCTGAGAGGCGAGAATGGTTCAGGACACTAAATTGGTTTTTCTGTTGTGGATTTTGGGTTGTTGCTGTTTTTTTTTTCAAACATTAGGAATATCTCCTAACTTTATTAGGGTCAGAATTTGGGAGGAAGTTTTATTTTTTGTTTTTAAAAAAGGTAAGAAAAATAATTTGGAAATTTTGAGAGTACAAAAATGTAAACATTATTATTTACACAAAGCTCAGTTTTAGATAAAAAGGACCACTTAGAAACACAGACGATACTTAGGTCTTCGATGCAATTTGTCCTTAACATATTGTCTTTAACAATTAGAGGTAAGTTGACACTAGCTGCACACATGGTTTCTCTGTGGTGGCCTGGTGGGAAGGAGGTGTTCTGTCAGCCAAAGCCGTGCCTTTCTACCAGTTGCCCCACAGTAGAAAGATGAGCAATCTCCTCCTGTCTGATTTATGCTGTTATTGTGCGCCTTTGAGTCTGATAGGTGACCCTCCAGTGGGTTTTCAGAGGCAGTGAATTGCATGCAGGAGGAGACTACCCATCCTCCAGTAGAGCAACTTTGAATAATGTGCCTTGGGGATTGCAGTGCAGCTTCTTACCACTCTCCCACCCTCTCAAAACTGACTGAAGGTTCAGCTGCACATAAAACTAACAAAGGACAAGTAGGAGTTGTCTGGAAATAAGATATTTCTAACCTGAGGGGATGCCTGTAATCTATTTCAATTCATCTATATTGCATTTTTTTTAAAAAAGCAAACAAAAATTAGGAACCCCAAAATTAAAAAATAACAGAAAAAAACTGTTCAGTGACTTGTCTAACATTGCACGAGGAGTTCCTTAGTGGAGCCAAAGTGCTTAGAAGGCTGTCAGATCAAAGTTTCCTAGAGATTTCTGGGAAGAAAGGCCTGAAGATGCACTTATGAAAAATGCGTTTTTTTGAGAACAAAAACTTGGAGTGCAATTCTTAATTTTCTGTAACATTAACATGGATGCTAAGAGGCAGAATCAAGTTGATGGTAACTTGTAGGCTAAATTCTCAGGGGGTCTGACTCAGAATGGCTTCCACTATATATACGGTATGTATCGATAAGAAAAGGGGTGTTGGGTTAAATTTGAGAGCATGGTTTTCAGTCCCAACTCTACTATTTCCTTTCCATTTGATTGATGTTCTAATGTGCAGTATTGTTGGATGAACCCTACCTTCCACTTAAGAGGAATTGAGGGAGCTGTGGCAGCAAAGCCCATATGGAGCTGTGCTGCTAATCCGAAGGCTGGCACCTTTCTGTCAGTTCAAATCCACTATGGATCTGTGGGAGCAAAATAAGCTGTCTCCTCCCATGCAATTTATAGCCTTGGAAGACCTACCTCAGGGGTTTGTGTTTGTTTGTTCATTTGTTTTATTCATTTTAATGAACGTTTACAGAGACTTTGGATTTTCATTCATTCATTGTTACATTTTTCTTCCTACCCCCCCCACCCCCAGTTTACTCTTCTCTTTGGAAAGTAAAAGAAAAATTCTTTCATTGGTGTACAACACCCCTCTACTCCCCCACCTTTCTTACCACCCCCCCCCCCAGTCCCAGGGTATTTTGCTTTAGTGCAATGCAATCCTTTACCTGTATTAAAAAACAAACAAACAAACAAAAACACCAAAACTTTTGCTGGTGGAGTTGGCAAACAGTTGGCCTGTTGATTCAAAGCCCATGCCTTCACGACAGTTGAAATTGGCTGGTGTGTGTGTGTGTGTGTGTGTGTGTGTGTGTGTGTGTGTGTAGTCCGCTTCCAAAAGACTTATAGCCTAAGAACATTGGAGGGTCACCTATGAACTGATTTCTTGTCAATAGCAATGA